ATTACTTTTGTGTGATATTAACAATTTTCCAACATCCATAAATAGATCTTACGTATTAATTGCATTCTTTGAATAAGTTTTGTTAGCTCTGCGAAGAAGGACAATTATTTAACTACGTTGTATTTTATATTTTTTGCGATAATAATGATAATACTTGATACGTTCTTACAATACGCGGATGTTAGAAAATGTTTACACCCAACAAATATATATATATATATATATATATATGTATATATGTTTGTGTGTATATAAAATATCTGTGTAATTTGAAAATCTCTTATTGTCTTCTTTTACAAATTATTATTACGTATATTAGAATATATATACATTTATTTTCACGATAAAATATGCTATTAACATAGACAAAGATTAATTAAAATCACGATTAGGTAAATTTGCGTAAATTTAATATTATAAATACGTATTTTTACTAAATATGTGTATATAAAAGAAGTATCGCGTTGCCGTTAAATTTTCCTATTTTTTGCCTGGTAATTAACGAATGACTCAAATGGCTTGCATCATATACAAGTTTAACTTTAAAATAAAAATATACTTCTCTTAAGATAAGAGAAATTTGCACAAAGCCGTATATTGTCATTCCTTTTTTTTTTTTAATTTTTAAACTGCCTTTTCGTTCTATGGAGACATTAATCAAGAATATAAATGCTATATAATTTTAAAAAACCGCAATCTTACTTAATTAAAAAGCGCAGAATTTCATAAATATATTATAAATAGATTCATAAATATGTAGCGCGATAGACTTTTTTTGCCTTTTTACTTTTTTTCAGTATCACGTGTACATTGTATATTGCTTTTGCTAAATTTAGTGCGGAATGTCGTGCAATTATTTTTCATTACATTTGTCATTATCATATTTTTGACTTTAAGCAACATAATTCACAAGCTCGCCCATTCGTTAACTGCGTAAACGTTAAGCAGTCAGCGAGTCGATTGCATACTGACAGCCATCGTGCTCTACATTGTTTGCATGACAGATCTACGTCATCTACCCACGGAATATCTTCCGACAGACTTCCGACGCGTGCAATCAATCTGTTTCTATTTACATGAAGAATAATGTTTGTTTGAAAATTTTTAACTCGCTTTAGGATACAAAAACGTTACTTAGTCGATTAAGCATTTGGAAATTAAGTTTCATGTTTTTTACGCAAATTTAGCAAATATATTTTTGTAAGTAATATATTTATCGGAAGATGATACATTATAATAACAATTAAATAAAAAATAACAAATCTTCAAATTATTCTTTATTTAATTACTTTTAAATCTTATCGCACAATTGTCGCAAGGCACTTTGAGAGAAGCAGAAGATGTAAAAGTTCTTCATTCTGCAATTTACTTTTGCTTTATGACGCAAATCATATCGGATAGTAGTACGGTTTACGTAAAAGCTGGCGTGCTAAGCTCACCTGTTTCTATTAAGGAAATCAGCACTTCCGCAGCATTCGCGCTATAACGTTAAACTCGTTAAAAGGACGTTAAAACAAGGCACATCTATAGCTATATATCATTTCGTCGTCGCGCGCGGCCGTGGATTTGATTATCAGTCGCACACACTTCATAGTAAACTGTCGTTAAGCGTAACAAAATACTGTAAATGACACCATTTGCATTATCTTAGATACTTTAACAAATTTCGTGTCATAGATATACACACGAATGCATAAGTGTGTCCGTCTATTTTAATAACGTCTCATAAATTTTTGCATGCTTACTACTAAAGCGATTATATACCAGTTTATTTTAACAGCAGTTCTATAAAGATGAAAAAAGAGCAATGTGTATGTATCTTAGACCAAAAATAGTACTAAATCAAAAATGCAATTAGTTGAACGGATCAGCTGGAAAAAGTCCTATATCTTTTTGCAATTATAAACAAGAACCTTCTTAATTAGCTTCAGATAACAATAGCGTTACTTAACGTTATTAGCGATGCATGTTTCACATCAGATCTGTTTCTTAACCGCGCGTCTTTTTGTTCTTGAAATAAGATGTATATACATTACTCGTGCTTATGAAACAGAGAGAAAAATAAGTGTATTAGATGCGGCTCGTCTGCAGAAAATCAAGTTTATTTTCTGGCACTCGATACAGCATTTGTTGCTCGGTATACGAGCAAGTTCGTAAATCGTACCTTTTTTCGATGATACGTTTGAGCAAACGAGTCGTAAAGCCGAGCAGACATATCAAGAGTACTTACGATACAGTCTGTAGAGCAAACGAGAGAGGATTATTGATTTAACTACTGTGTGATATTAACAATTTTCCAACATCCATAAATAGATCTTACGTATTAATTGCATTCTTTGAATAAGTTTTGTTAGCTCTGCGAAGAAGGACAATTATTTAACTACGTTGTATTTTATATTTTTTGCGATAATAATGATAATACTTGATACGTTCTTACAATACGCGGATGTTACATGTATAATATACTCGCAATTGCACTAGGTATCATTTACGCGCAATTAAACTACATTAGAAACTGTATGATGATCAAATTGACCGTCCCCGCAGGCTGCTGCATTAAGATTGATATCTGGAAATACATGAATAGGATTAAGATCAGTCAAGCCAGCAGAAAAGAATTTACTCGTACCAGAATCGACATGATTTTAGCCAGTAATATATCTTACCGGAATCAGTTTGATCTGGTAAAGTATTTGAGCATACGTCATCATATCTGACAACACAGTAAGATGATAAATATACGATAATTAAACGGCATACAATCGATGTAGGTATCGAAATTCTGCTGATGTAATTATATACATGAACAGTTAAACGAAATGCAATGTACATCGAGTTAGTGGAGTTGATTACAGATATCAATATTTAAAATACAGAAATATAAAGAGTGAGATACCATAAGAATGATATATGGATAAGCTATAAAAAATTAATTTCATAAAAAAACAGCAAGCGGAGGATCTTTTAAAAATAATTTGTTATCAAAACAATTTATATTAAATTCGAATCTTGTTACTTGTTTCTATAAAAATCCGATATTTTCATCTTTAGAGAAAAAGAATTATAATTTCTTTTCCTTTTTTTTTTTTGGTGAATTCGCGCTTTTGCAGAAATAGCAAAATATCGGTAAAATAATGTGCTCTTGCTTATTGGATAAAAATTTCTGCCAACTTTGCCGATATATACACGATATGACGAATTGAATCTCTTGCCGGAGGGAGAAAAATCTTCAGCAAGCATGTTTTCTTCGGTCCTGATCTATCACGGCAAAACTTTAAATCGAATTATCGGCGACAGATAATAATAACGTGTTCTGATTCTTTGTCTAACTGAACTTGCACTAATGTTACTTTCTAAGAGTTTTATATATCGCGGAATTCGATCATACGGTCATCCTTTTGACGATTCGCGAGATAACGATGACAGCTCTAGATCTCGTCGCGATTTCGTTTCGTCAAAAGTGAGTCTATGAAATAGAATTCAGTGCACATATTTTTCTTTTTATCTATTTTTTTTTTCTTAAGTCAGAGTAACTCGACGAGCGGATCTCTAGAGTGTAAAAAAAATTTCGTTTCGTCAAAAGTGAGTCTATGAAAGAGAATTCAGTGCACATATTTTTCTTTTTATCTATTTTTTTTTTTCTTAAGTCAGAGTAACTCGACGAGCGGATCTCTAGAGTGTGAAAAAGACTTGAATGATTTGAGGTTTTTCATAGATACACGTACACGCGTAAAGTGCTTCTCTCCGCGTATCTCTGTCGCATTAAAAAACGTCAAAAGATTTCGAAATGTAGAGTGAACCACCGCGACGACCTTCTCGTCTCTCTCATTTCGTTTTGTGGATATTCTGTTCGCGGCATTCTACGAAGTGCGATGAAAACCGCTTGTTTCTCTTGAAAGCGCATTCTTTTCTTTTTCTTTCCTCTTTTTTTCCCTTCCTCGTTCTTCATCGTCGAGGGTCGAAGTTTACGAAACGCGCACGCAGCCGCCCACGCAAACTGAAATGCTCGCGCGTTCGCGCGTGCTTGCGAACATGCGCACGGCTTCGTAGCTATTAACCCTTCAAACATTATTAATTCATAGCTTTTATAAAAAAATTCTTACATGGCTGATTTGACATTAACATGTTGAAAAATTTTGAAGATAGATTTATTATTTAAATCTAAGAAGAAAAGTTATTCAAAATATTGATAAAAATATTAATAGATTTTTTCTTATTTATGTACAAATGTACAAATTATGTACAAACTCAACATAAATTTATCCTTTATTTAATTTTGTATTTAATAAAATTTTATATCAAGACTTAATTATATATTTATTTGCCTTAAAATATTTAACATTAAAAATTAACATATTGCCCTGACAAGTTTCGTTGACATTGTCTTCCATAAAGAGATATTTCTACTTTTTCTTGTACTTTTTCATAATGGGCCTAATTCATATAATGGGATACAAAAAAAGGTTTCGCAAATGTTCCTTTAAATTTTCTTGAGTCCTTTGAGTAATAAATTCTACCGTTTTCTCTAGCCATAAATTTTCAATATTCCAATGAAATTTTCTAAAAAAATTTCAGGATCTTAATGCATTTATCTGAAAATGAAATCTCTTTTCTTTGATTATATATTTGATTATTTCTCAAATAACTTTCCTTGTTGCCAAAAATTACAATGGAATCCTCTCTTCAAAAACTTTTAATCAATCACAACTACTTTTATATGAGGGAAAACCCCTTTTTCTTTTTAAATAAATTTCGCCAAGTTTCCAAAAGAAAATCAGATCATTCAACTCTTCCCAAAGCAATACTAGTGTTTCGAGCGTGCTATCTTGTTATACCACCAAGTTGCACTAGTGAGTTATATCAGGTAAAATTTAATACTCAAGAGTTCATATAGCGATTTATTTCTCTTTTAAAAACATTACGTCGCATAAATCATTCGCGTACGGAATTGAGCTCGTGCATGCGTGCGCAAGCATGTGGGTGCGCGTGAACGACCGTGGAAAGGGAAATTCGACGCATGCTTCCTTCCTTTTAATGTCTATACTTGAGGGGTTTTGATCCACGAGGGGTTCAAGTTTTCGCGACGCTCAGTGCTTCGTGTTAGATCCTCGCGGATCGTTTGGCGCATCGCAGATCGCGTGTGTGTGATCGTTAAATTTCCATCATCATAGTCTTCCAACCGGATCTTGCATCGTGAGTCTCGATTAAAAATTTTCTCCCGTGATTTTGGCGCGATTTCATCATCGACTTTTGTTTCATCCCTTCTATACTTACAGTTGTCTCGTAATCGATTATAGCGTCTCATGAAACGCAATCAACAAGTGGATCGAGTAGACTTTGGGCTGATCCCCAGAGTTTATTTACTTCGGAATTTATATCTATCACTTAATTCAATTTGTTTCCATCAAACACAACTAATAGACAGTTTGAGCTTATCAGCTTTGCACGAATTACGAATTATACGCATTCTGGCATTCTTAAGTATTGTAAAGCATTAATTTACATGAATTTTATCCAAATATTTGTACACAGCATTTAAAAAGTTATAAGTCTACGATTTTTACTAGATATTGAATCTATTTCTATTTTGGAAATATGCACAAAGTAATATTTTATAATAATCTTTTATCAAATTATAAAACTATTAGCGTATTAAATTTATTCGTACAATGTTTGCATCTGTCCAAATTGTTAAGTATTTCTGTAGTATTACAAATATTTTGGCTGTTATTTAGGTTTATCTATTTATTAGACCTTGATCTAATATCCAATCTATTTATTAATTAGATTTTGATAATCACTTTTTTAAACTGTCCCTCGCTTTTTTTTCTTCTTTTCTTTCTTTCTTCTGCTCATTATTTAACAAGTTGAGTACGAGATATGTTTTATTCATAATTTGCGGCATTTTTTTCTATCATTTTTTTGCAAAGCAAACTTATTGTTAGTCTAAGCTAATTGTATATTTCCAATCTCAACTTATTTCACATAATGTAGGTCACAAAATTCTTAATGAAAGATTTTATTGTTTGAGTTTCTTTGACTAAATATAGATTATTTGATATCTATGAAGGTTTAACATACATAGATAAATACACAACATAGATAAATTGTTGAATACGTATAATAAAATGAATCATTTATTCGGATTCTATATATTCCGAGACAAATTTATTAAATCTTAATTATTTTGTTTATTGTAATGAATAATTTTATCAAGTTTTAATCTATTTCAGTAATCAAATTTTAAATAATAATTTAAATTAATAAACTGATATGTATTTTATACATATATATGCAATATTATATATGTTATTTAAGCTTAATTAAATTATATTTTATACATACACACACACACACACACAAACACACAATATTATATATGTTATTTAAGCTTAATTAAAGTGTGTTATTCTGCCATTTATATACTATATGTTTTCTCAAGTATTTTATATTATATCGTAAATCTCATATATGTAAATACATACATACATATATAAGATACATATAAGATTTAACATACATAGATAAATTTTTAAATACGTAAAATGAATTATTTCTTCTATTCGGACGCACTACTTTCTAGATATAAACATAAATATCAGAGTCAACAGTTCAAAAATAATTTATGTTGTAATTCGCTTGAAATTGTCATAATTTTTTTATGACTATTTATTTTTAATCATAGATTGCGATTCGCATAAAATATGTTTTTCTCATATAAAGTACAATCCTATCTCTATTAGGATAAACAATTACAATTTGCACGCGTATAAAGTTATAACTTTTATCATTAATCATTGAGCACATACAAGTCTCACTTGAATAAATACATTTTCATTATATATATTTGAGGGGACAGAAAGAGAGAGAGAGAGAGAGAGAGAGAAAGAAAGCTTTTAAGAAATAAAATAATTTTTTTATCATATTTTTAAATATATTAAAAAATAATTGAAGTATTTGATATATTGATATAT